AGTAGTAGTAATAATAGTAGTATTAGTAGTAGTAGTAGTAGTAATAATAGTAGTAGTAGTAGTAGTAATAGTAGTAGTAGTAGTAGTAGTAGTAGTAATAGTAGTAGTAGTAGTAGTAGTAGTAGTAGCCGCACGAGGAAGAACAGTAGGAATAATAGTAATAGCAATAAGAACATCGGTAGTAGTAATGACAGCAAGTAAATGCATCTGTAAATGAATAACTGGATAATCAAGTATCCATATATATATATAGAGAGAGATTGAACCTATTTGGGACCCCTCTTATAAGGATGCCAAAATATCCGGCACCCCCCTGATTTTGAGAGGCTCCAGAGTTTCTTTCCTCAGTAGTTGAGTACGTATCATTCAACCTTCCTAGCTATGCTCAGATCTACCATAATTTCTGGTCAGCATGGGTAGGCATGAGAGTTCGGCAACTGGCTGGTGATACAACCTGAAGACATGGCGGTATTTAACCCATGCGCGCAACATACACTATGGCACTATGAGTATTGATTATTGTCGGTGCTGCTGTTGCTAGGGAGATCGCTGGCCCCCTGGCTCTCTGTATATATAAGTGTATAAGTATATCTATATGCAGCATACATATACCTACATGTATGTATGTATGTATGTATGTATGTATGTATGTATGTATGTATGTATGTATGTATATATATATATGTGTATAACGAACTGGCTATTAGCCATTACAATAATAGCAATAATAATCATAATTCGTGATGCGCCCGCCGCTTTCTCGTTCGTTCTCTTGGAGGGTGACACTGTTTATGTTGTTCAGCGTTCAGCTGGATCGCGAAGCCCAGCGAAATCACATCGCACAGAAATCCTATACCCTAAACCTATTTCTACTCTCTGAGCCCCAGCAAACCCTAGACCTATTCACCTCAAAATTTTTACGACAACTCAAAACCAAAGCCGCCAACACAGACCTCATACCCTCAAGTTTTGGAAAAAAACAACAAGCCATCAAGACAGAGCCACCGAAGCGGCCCACATAGAACCCATATATTGCTATAGAACTAAGTAGAGAAGCCTCGTTAAGTCCTAGAACGATTTGGGGTTTAAGGTTCAAGGTTGAGCGTTTTGGGGTTTGGGGCTTACGGTCTAGGGTTTCAGAGTTTTAGGTGTAGGGTTGTTAATTCTGTATATCCCGACAACCCCAAGGCACCTGCATCCCACCTGATTGGGGCTGGCGCGAAGACCGATGCCCAGCCTCCATCACCGAGGGGTCCGGGCACCCGGTTTCTGTTTAGGGACCTTGGGTTTAGGGTTGAAGGGTTTAGCGTTTAGGGCATAGGGTGTTGTAGGCGTTGTAGATTGGTTGTGCGGGCGAACCAATAAACCACAGCGCACGATTCTGCTTCTCCAGATTGAAACCTTCTACAGGGTTTGGGGTTGAGGGTTTAGGGCTTTAGGTTCAGGGCCGAGGGTGTACAGTTGAGGGTTTTAAGGGCTTAGGGGTTAGAAGGGTCTTGGAGTTTTGTATTGGGGGGGGGAGGCTTGAGTATGCAGATTCCTGAGTGCTCCCTCATATAGTATACAGCCCCTAAAACTCTTGTCTGATCATTCAGGTGCTTATCTAGCAAGGTGCACGAAGCAAGTTATAGCACGCCAGCTGCTTTGACGTTTAGGGTTTGGGTGTACCGCAACCCAGGCACACCAACACTACAAAGCTTGCTTGTTACCTTCATATAAAACAGGCTACGCTGGGTACTCGGGATCCTGTGTCCCCTAAGGCTCAAAAAATAGCCAAAAAAACCCTAAAAAGTAGGGTCTTTGGGCCCAAAAGCCTTAGAATATGAGTCCGAAGAGCCTTAGGGTTCTATTTTGTAGGACGAGGTTGTGCGCAGGGGCCTTCACGTAGGGCTTCAGCACAGATTCGGGGTGCAATATTTGGGGTTCAGGATTTGGAGATTTGGAAAGCAGGGTTTTATGAGTTTTGTAGGGTTTGCACCAGGGAGTAAGTAATTGGGTTGAAGGTTGTTGTTGTGGCCGTTATTGTCGTAGCAGCAGCAGTAGTGGTAGCCGTCCGGTGGCAACGAACGAAAGTTCCGGACCGATGAGCGCATATGTTGCTGGAAAGGCGTGCCATGCATCGAGTTTGTTGTCGGTAGGGGTAGACCAGAAGTCATCTTCACGTATACTTTATCATACTGTAAGTTGAAGTCGCCGAGCGGATCCCGGCAATTACAAGAGAGCTGCTCAGCCATGCTTCGCGTTTTTGGCATTTCGGGTACAGAACTTGCCGCGCTGCCTATGAACAAGCTGGCTTCCTCGATGGACAGGCAAATGCACCGTGGCTGCAGTTGGGAAGCATGCCCAGTGAATTCCATCATGTGCCATATGCGCAAAATTCATGGCTTTCCAATCTGCATTCAACGTCTTCTACATGACGGCACCAGCTTGACAGCACGTGACAAGTTGGGGTCGCCCGCTGATCTGCAACTGGTGCTCCTTGACCTCGCCAATGTTTCCGCATCTATTGTTGCAGAAGAACTTATAGAATATGCCGCCATGAACGGAGACATACATGTTGCATCGGCCTTGTTGAAAGGCGGAGTTGACATGAATTCGCGCGGCAGGAAACGCATGACGGCATTGATATGCGCTGCCTCTGAATGCCATGTTGAGCTCCTGCGCTTGCTACTCGAAGCTCGTGCCAACACGAACTTGCAGGATAACGGGGGCATGACAGCTCTCGCACATGCCGCAGAACTAGGTTGTTTTGCGGCAGTGAAGGCGTTGTTGGAAGCTGGCGCAGACGTTAACTTGGGAGATCTCCTGGGCATGTCACCATTGGCCCATGCATCGAGCTTAGGTTTTTTCCACATTGCGCGCTTGCTCTTGGAATGTGGGGCAGACGTTGATTCGGAATCCTTCACGGGCTCACCTCTCATGGGCGCGGTGTTGAATGAGCATCCTGATGTCGTCTTCCTATTGTTGGAGGCTGGGGCAGATACAGATTGGCAAGACTTGAACGGAATGACGGCTCTAATGCACGCTGTTTCTCGGAACGATACTGAAGTTGTATATCTTCTACTCGATGCTGATGCGGACCTAGATTTGCAGGAACACCAACAGGGCCAGACGGCACTTCATGCTGCTACAGTGCGAGGGCATGTTGATGTTGCGAGGTTGCTGCTGGCGGCCGGTTGCGATCAGGAAGTGCCCGACATGGATGGCACAACGACTCTTATGCCTGCATCCCGATCAGGCGCCGTTGAGTTGATTCGGTTGCTTCTGGAAGCCCGTGCTAGGGTGAATTCTCAGGACAATTCAGGCACGACGGCGCTGATGTGGGCATCCTCCTGCGGTGAGGTTGCAGTGCTGCGCCTGCTGCTGCAAGCGGGGTCCGACAAGGAGCTGCCCGACAACGAAGGCAAGACCGCCCTCCATGTCGCATGTCAGAAAGGCCATGCTGACGTGGGAAGCTTGCTTCTGGAAGCAGGCTCCAAGCACGAGGTCAAAGATCGATTGAAGGCCACGCCTTTTCATTATGCATGTGATGGAGGCCATGTCAGAGTGGTGCGGCTGTTTTTGTCGGCCAGTGCTGACATGGAGATACAAGACCATGTCGGAATGACCCCTCTCATGCGATCATCTTGCGCAGGCCACTTGCAAGTTGTTCGTGCCCTGCTGGGAGCCGGTTGCGACAAGAACTTGTGCGACCATGGAGGGCTGACGGCTCTGCTTCATGCCTCTTACGAAGGCCATGTTGAAGTAAAGAGCTTGCTGGTATGAGCTGCATTGAATGTGACGAGACTCTTCAAGTATGTGCAGTGCGGTAAAAGTTGCAACGCCCTTGTCCTTGCCACTCAGCTAGCTAATCCCACTCTGGTCGCATCAATCCCCTGATAGAAGTTCTCTTCTGCAGTGGCTTGGTTTAGGTTCAGCTTTGGGCTCGTCGCAGGGTTCCCCATGACAGAGCGAATCTGAGATCTGGGAGAATCTAGTGAAGAACTTATTTCGCAGGTTCTCCTAGACCCTAAACCCTTAACCCTAAAGCCTAAACCCTAAACCCTTAACCCGAGGGCTCTTAAGGTGTGGTCCGCGACCTGCGGCTCCAGATTCGTGCTATTGTAAAGGATTGCACCCTGCAGTTCAGCGGCCATGTCCTCCTCATGTTCTAAGTCTAGGAGTAGTGCCCTTTTGCCCTATTTATTGTACGGTCCCCTTTTTTTAAACTGAATAACAGACATAAAGGGTACCCTTATCGTTACGGGGTCACTCAGGAGCCTCATTGTTCAGATTCGGGGCTTCGCGTAGAGTCTTCGACCCAGGTCTCGCTCCAGATATGCTCTGACCCATACTCTCAGTCATTGAAGATGAATCATCAGTATACATTGAATCATACATGCATATGTCTGTACACGTACATATGTTTGTACATACCTGCATAATTACATGTGTATCTATCTATCTATCTATCTATCTATCTCTCTCTCTCCCTATATATATATATGTACATGTATATGTATATATATATATATAGAGAGAGGGAGAGATAGGCGGGTATGTATGTATGTATGTATGTATGTATGTATGTATGGATGTATGCATGCATGCATGCATGCATGCATGCATGCATGTACGTATCTACATATTACAGTGGTTTAGCACCCCGGGCCCCGCAAATCGTAAGATCTGCTCCTTGCTTCCGCTGTCTGTGGTGTCTGGGCCTCGGAGAAGCCTCAGACTACGGTTCAGAGTTTAGGCTTAGGGAATCCCCACCCGTTCATTTCCAAGCATGCTCAGTCCTAGAGGGTGAAGGTACACCCTACAGCCCATACCCCAAGGGTCCATGTGCCCATTCTTGTATACTTCTGCCTTACTGTAGTCCCTATCTGAGAACTTTCGGATCAAAGTATATAGTATTTGGGCACATTTTCCCTTAGGGATATCCAACGCCCGAATCCCCAAGGCGCCGAATCCCAGCAGTTCTGAACTCCAAAACCCTACATCCGAACCTCGGCCCCGCCTTCCCAACACTTCCAAGTTCTGAACCCTGAAGCCCGAGTTGAGAGCCCCCCAAAAAGCCTTTAAAAGGCTAGACCCGAAGCCCTAAATGCCTGAAGCCTGAACCCTAAACCGACCCAACTCCGCTTACGGTGGGGCACAGGGATCCTAGCACTAATCCTCCTAAATCCACGTTCCAACTTTTTGGGGTTCACTGTAAGTTAAATTAACTCTAAAACCCTACAAGAACTCCCTAGACTCTTAGACTGACCCCTAATCCCTAAACCTTAAACTCTAAAATCCTACAAAAACTCCATAATCCGACCCCTAATCCCTAAACCCTAAACCCTAAGAGCCTACAACAACTCCGGGAACCTTGAGGCGCACCGGTCGCCACAGCCGGCGCCTCCGGCAGATGGATTTGTCTTGGGCTTGAAAAAAGGGACGCTGCCTTTGGGTTTATAGGGTTTAGGTTTTGGTTCAAGGTTTACGGTGTAGGGCTTAGCGAGGGTTCCCTAAACCTCAAGTTTGGGTTAGGTTTTTCGGATTTAGATTTTATCGAGTTTAGAGGTCTCGGGGTTTGAGGCCTAGAGCTTACAGGACTTATTTAGGTTTAAGATTTGGAGTTTGAACAGCTTGGGGCCTAGAGTTTAGGTTTAGGGGTTAGGGTCTGCTTCTTGAAAAGGTTTATGCATAAAGGTTGAGGGTTCATGGTTGAAAACTGAGGGTATCTGGTCTTGGATTTAGGCTGTCGTCGGACTCTGCGTAGTCCTTTACGCAACCCTAATCCCTAAACCCTAAACTTGACTTCTTGGGATACTGAGAAATTAAGCTTCAACATCAACAACACGTCTGAGGACGATCAAAGTTTAAGGCTAGCGGCCTAGGATTTGGGGCTCAGCCTGTTTAGTGCGCAGGTTCAAGACTCAAGACGTAGATCCTGGAGTCCAGAAATCTAAATTGAGTTCTCTGAACTATGGCTGACCCAAGATGAATTTTGAAAACAAGCACAGCTGCTATGATGAGTAAGCTCATAACTATCCCAGCTCCAGTTAGGGCGCAGGACGATTTCAGACTTGTGGGTTCGTGGCTCTGGGTTTAGGGTTAAAGTGGAGTGAAGGAGGGGGAGGGTTCGGCCGCCTTCTGAAATTTGAGTCCCTAAACCCTGCACCCTCTAAGCCCCAAAACTTGAATCCTAAACCCTAAACCCAAACCCTGAAGCCCCTGAACCCCTAAAACCTAAACCCTATAACGAGCACCTAGACCCTAAAGCCTAAGACGGCGAGGACTTATGCAACCAATGCAACCGCTCGCAGCGTCGCAGGCATGGTGGGTTTCATGGAAAGGTGTTACCGAATTTCATAGGCTTTAGGGGGTTTAGGAAACAGAGTTCAAGGTTCGAGGGGTTTTGGTAGGGAATAGGGTTTAGGGTTTAGGGGTCTGGATACATCCGTACTAGTTTGATATCATGGGGTGCTTTGTGTTATCCCTGCTAGCCCCTTTGAAATTTACAGCCCAATTTGACCGAAAGCCATATTCCAACCGGTAATGTCCCCGTATTTACATAAACCCGAACCGCCGAGCAAAAAACAGTGCTACACCCGCAAGAAGAATGCCGAAGGCCGCATAGGTCAGACAGCAGTGAGGGGAGATGAAGATGTGATTTTGGGTCTATAGCGGGCTCAGAGACAAGGTCATAGGTAAGGCCAGTTTATGCCCAGCGAACCCAGAAGTTGAGAGAGCCAGAAGAAGGCCCCGCGCGATACAAACCCTCTAAACCCTAAGAGCCCTGAGCCCTACACCCTGAAATACTTAAACCCCAAACCCTAAACCCGAAACCCAAATAGCCCTAATAAGCCCCAAACTCTAAACCCTAAACCCCAAAAGCCCAAACCAGCTCCAGCTTCAGGCTTCCGCCAAGTCCCTGCAACTCGCACATTGTTGGCCCCAGCTGCATCTGTTCTCGACCGGCTGGGCCCTGAGCGGGGAGGGGGTTTCAGGGCCTTGTGGTTTAGGGTTTTGGTTGCTGAGTTGTTGGGTTTAGGGCTTCAGGCTTCAACGGCTGTGCAAGGTTCCAAAGTGTTGCAGCGGTGTAGGGTTTGAGGGTTTGGGGGTTT